ATCTAGATGCATCCATCCTAGAAGTGGTATCAACCAGGAGGAGTTTGTCAATCTTGTCATGAAGACAACGAGCCGTCCTCAACAATCGCGGAGCACGCGTATCCTCTTGCTTCATGAGACTAACCAAGTGATCTGAAATATATCAAGTAATATCAATGGAGCTGTAACCGCATAACAGTAGTGGTGCCCTACCGATAAAACGATGCAAAGGCTTCATGACCGCCAGGAGGATCCCATCATCAGCAGAGGACAAGCAGGACTTGAGGAAGGATCCTTGGATGAGAATTTGGTAGGTGGCTCTACGAAGGATGCCAAACTGCCTCCCGCAGAGGAAGGCAGTGCTGACTTAGCAACTCTGTCTACAAGAGTGCCGACGCCTCCATCCGTGTCGTTCTCGACGATCTCCTCTTTGGTCTGCTCCGCCAAGTCGCATAGCCACTGGATGACCCTTTTGCTCACGACTCGACGGCATCGCTTGAGAGATGGACCCAGTAGGGGAGGGTATCTGACTCGATTGCCTCCAAATCTTCGACTATAAAGCCTCTATTCTCATAGTCTAGCATACGCCTCCGAAGGTCCCACCTCATGGTCTGACGATCAGCATCCTCACAGCTCTCGACCGCGGCCTCTGCGATGCACCTCAAGTGTTGACAGCTCGCGCCGAACATCATAGCGCATTCGAACACCAATAGTAAGGCATCGGGGCATAGGTCTAATGAGACCGTTCTTATAAGATGAACAATGAACAGCCTCCTGTCCTCAAGCCAGGATGAATCTTCGTTTTTTCCGCACCTCATCGCAGCGTGGTAGATTGTGTGAAGACTGTGCGCTACCCAGCGACTCTTTCGACAGCTTTCTGTGTCCATCAAGGATTCCAGAGCTAACTTCTCGAGAGTTCGGAAAGCGCACTGAGTGCTCTCCAGTGGCAGCATCTTATCGAGGATCTCAATGAGAATCTTCAGAGTGCGCTCGGACGTTGTAGAACAGTCGAATAGCCGAGCAAAGATGCTCCACCAGAGCGCTTCGTTTCTCTCACCCGATTCGAACGAGGTGGCAAGGAGGTCCACGACGGCGGCTACATAACCAACGTCGTGTCGTACACATATTTCATGAGCTTCTCCTGTAGGGCTCTTCCTCGTGATGAAGGAGACGAGCGGGGCGCTGGTCAGTTCTCGAGAGGCGACCATTGAGGCTGCGACCAGACACCTCCTGGCGAACCACAGACGATGGGCACTGTAGACCTCCATCAGTTCCACCAGGTTACACTCGGCATCGTGCAAGTCTCCACACGGTAGGACGGGTGGGAACTCGCCGAGCCACTCCTGACCAGCCACCTCCTTGTCGACTTGTAGGTTGAGCTCTGCCACTAGAGGCCCCTCAAGGCCTTCGCAACGATGACCTCCTTGAGCCCTTGCTAGAGTTACCTCGCTCGAGAGACCAACCACTTGAGCAAGAGGATTCTCAGGGCAAACTAGGTCCCTCCAGCCATCACAAGAGTAGCCGAGGGCCGACAGTTGGGCGACAGCAGTGGTGTAGGGGCCTCTGTGATTCTCCCCGCCTGGGCCCTCGAGGATCTTCCGCATTCGCTCGATCACCACCGAAGCTCGCTGTGGCTGGTGGGGAAATCTTAGGACAGTGCACAAGGCCAGACAAGGTAGCGTCTCTGCTGGGAGGACCAGCACCAAGGAGTCCCATTTCTCCGTAGAGTTACAGTCACAGCAGTCCACAAGGCGAGGAGCGATCCTCTCTACGGTCGCTGTAGGCAGACCCGGTCGCATTAGAGCTTGCGCGAGAGCGTCGAACATGAGCGGACAGGAGATCTCGCCGGATTTGATGATGGGATCGAGGACAAGATGTCCATCAGCCTTCACAGCTACGGTTGATAGGAAGTTTCTCACTCGAGGCGCCTCCATCTTCCCTAATTGCCGACTCAGATTTGTCCCCAGCCACTTCTTGAAGTGCGCGTCCCGGTTCGGAAAGATGGCGTACCAATGGATAGTTCGTTTGAGCGCAATACTATGTAGACTTCGAGCCATTCGAACGACCGTTTCCGCGCAAGTCTTCATCACCATCGAATCATCAAGGCCGACCAGAGCTTCAAGAACGTGTATCCCAGAGACAGCGCGGAATGCTCGCAGCTGACGTACTATCACTGCTCTGGATTTTGCTACAAAACTGAGAAGCTCCACGGCTCGGTCGGCCGAGCTGTATTTTTCGATTAGATGCTGGACGAAAACCCATCGAACTCGCATAGTGAGCGCGGGATTCACCACGACTTTCACGGCCAAATCGGTGTCCTCCAGTTCGAATATCGAGTTGACCAATTTACTTATCATTTCATTTCCACTCGCAGATGAGAGGAAGCCATCACTGCTGATAACTGCTTTAGCAAAATCAGCGTCCCATGGGCCGGCAGATATCTCCTTGACGATTTCGTTTGCCGCTTCCTCACTGGTCAAACCAGATTTGAGTTTCTTCGCCCCCTTTCCCCGGAGCACCTTCACAGTTGCACCCAGAATGGGGGCGTTGAGCTTTCGGTCGACGATTTCCGCATCTGTTGCGAGTACGACCAAGTCTTCAATGTCAAGTCGTGGGATAGCATGAGCAGCGATCGCGGTGATGACCCCTTCCCGTAGGTCGGAGGGATGTTCTATACAGGTTTGAATGACCACTTTCAAGGTTCCTATCGGCAAACAAACACTGATGGCTGTCGCGATCTCTACTGTGGCCTCAGTGAGAACACTAGATGCTATTTCATCATCAGTCGATATGCATCGCAGTTGCTGTACCGCTCGGACCACGCCTTTGGAAGGACGAGAGACGTTTGGACACGTTCGTATGGCCCTTTCGAGATTCCAAAAGGACATTCGATGTGATAAGAGGATCTTCGAGGGAAACGGAGAGTTTCATCGCGCTTGTTCGAACAGCAGCTTATGCTCAATCTAGATGCGTTTCTCAACTGCAAACTTCCCGTGTTATTCACGATATATCTCCATGGAGGGGCGTCGTATATTTCTGGCTTTTCTGTAGATATAAACTCTCGATAGAGGTAATGCTGGTACTTTTATATAACGATTTCCGAAACTCAGACTCAGCAGATCATCTTGATTCCTCCCATCCCAACGACTCGAATACCAATTTTTGACAATTTTCAATCTGTCGAAATTTTCGGGCGTTCACCGTAAGAGTTGCAGTAAACGCCCGAACATTTCCAACGCCTATGGAATACCACGAAGTGGATATCAACTTTGACGTTTAACAAAAAAAATTCGAAATAATCGAAATTGCGAAATTTCATCCCGAGTTCTTCAACTCTGACTATGATCTTCTATCACTAGTAGATAAGCACACCATCACTAAGATGAAGTTTCACGACCCTAGTGATATGAAAAACACTAGTGAAAAATATATTTCACGACTACTGCATATCGCGTTTTTCACCGAGTTTTACGACGCCACTTCACGTAAAACGCCAATGAGCCATCAGCTAAAACAAAATATTCAGTTTTTCCGATAGATCTCCCTAATACCCGAAAATCAGTGGATTCCACTTCCCGAGGTAGAACCCGAAGAACTCTTTTCACTGACTTTTTCCATGAAAATTGTCAACGCAAATTCCCACGTGGAGAGGTCGTATGGAAAATATGACTACAACACCAGCACCCTCATCTTCGGCATTTCTGGATACCATAATAACGTATATCGGTGATGGTGATGTCTCAGGCGTATCATCTATACGACCTATGAAGGGGAGAGAAGGCTGAGTGAATACCCTACGACGAGTAGTATATATCAACTTCAGAATCTTAGAGGACTTTTACGACCTAGGAAGTGTCTTTCAGTCAGCGACCATAGCTCTTTCAAATCCTCCATAAACCGGCATACCTCCTTTCCCTAGACGCCGACGATCTCCGTCTCCTATAACGACCACCCGACCTCGAACGTGACGACGATACTCTACGACTACGACGATGCCTCTCGGGTTGGGTATCCTCATCATCGCGAGAAGGCCTTCGAGATGATCTCCTCCGTGTGTCGGAACGCGAACGGCTGCGACGACGGCGACTGCGTGAACTCGACCGCTCTGGCGATCTGTCGTCATCTAACAAAAACACTGTCACTTATCCTTTCTTCGGTTAGAGCTAGCATCCCCAGAATGCCATGTTATATTCAATGAACAACTTAATTATCGATGATACAAGACCACTATACTCCACAGAATGCTGATACAATAGGCGCCCACCCAGAGGTGTCACTGAATTTCAACATATTCTCAGAATGTACGACACTTCATGAACCAAGGTTCAAAAGACTGCTTGGGAATTTTTCCACCCGCAACAGAACAACCCCTACCATAGCCTCACCTCGAGATCGCTTCTTATCACTTCTACTAGGTTCTCTCTCATCCCGCATCTCCTCATCCTTTTTTGGATTCCCTTCTACTTCCTCGCCGTTTTTCCTTTCCTTACCTGCGGCCTCGTCATCGTTCTTCTCCTTACCATCATCGACTTCGGCATCTCCCGCAGAGGCGACAGTCGGCGCAGCAAACTCCGCGAAACTGTAGGGAATCGATGCTATCTTCTGTTCTATCTGACAACAACAAGGAGATGAAAAACAATTCCCTGCTTGAGAATTTCCGAACAAGGCAGGTCTTCGTAACGATCGCGGGTTCGATTCTCGGGCCATGCTTTTTTCGAGCATTTTCTCTTCATCTATCGCAAGGACGCACAGCAGCGTCGACACGGCA